ATTACCTCTGAATATTGTCATATCGTTTGATAAGAGCTCGAACGCCAACGAGCCTCCATTGCCTCTTTTTTCGAACTCGAAATGTCAAAAGAGTTTACTCTGAAACAAGAGTGTTTTTTAAGTCTATAATGAAGTTTCCTTGAGAGTTCTGGCAGTGTCATTTATCATATATGATCCTTGGCTTCTTTTTCGCAGTATCTTTTTCTTTGCGTTTCTCAAGATGGTACCCATCGTTCGCTTGCCCTTTGGTGAAAGGAAGAAGAATATGATGGGATGGATGACGGCGCAAGAGAAATACAACACGACGGTAACGACCAATACTATGTTAATCGATTTGACATCCAGCTTTTCTTCTGCGTTGTTTTTACCAAGAATCATGGTTGAAATCTTCACTGGAAACCAACAAACAATGCACGAGATCAWCAAGAAAAACATCATGTAGCATGCATTGCGGMGACGRATGTAGTTTGCATKGGAGTTTTCTTTGAGGGCTGCTCCCTTGATATGYAGACAACAAATCGTGATTATCTGTATAGGAAGCATWATAGCYAYTGYGGCAAAAAAGAACATCTCGTGAAAAGATTGGAACAACGCGGACTGCACAGATTKCTCMMTGAAACACCCCTCACCGCCGTATTTCAGCATAAACAGACGCATGTAAAATAAGTCYGGGGTTGACATAGCAACGGAAACGATCCAAACCAAGATGATAGCATACAAGAAGAGATTGTGGCGCATGCGCAGGAAGAAAGGAAAACATACCGCCAAGAACCTTTCTAGGGACACAACAAGAAGGTTAAGGAGGATAGCACTCACTGCTACGCGCTGAATGAACACGTACAGCTTGCACATTACAGCTCCGAACACCCAGCCATTGACAAAGAAGACAGATATGATCAAAAATGGTGCTACAAAGATGCACAGAAGAAGATCTGCCAGTGTAAGGCTTATAATCGAGACACTGCAAATGTTCCTAGGATATTTGGACGCTATCAACACAATTCCTGTGTATATATTCGCAATGATGCCAAGCAGGATAACGGAAAACGAGCATATTGCTATCACTGCAAGCTCAGCAGTAGTGAAAAGGCATGGAATATGCTTGCAGTCGTCTTCYCCTGTTGCGTTGACGCTTGGTGTCTGTGTGCCATTGACTGTTGTATTGATCATCGTTTGGAATCTGAAATGTGAACATTGTGTATAATTACTATAACTTATTTCATGATAAAACTGGATCAGTTCAATAGAATCGATGAAATCATACTGAATTTGTTARGAATTGGAAGTTGAAATTGAAAGAAAAGACGAACTA